CACCATTCTAATTTAGAAATTAGTTTAATCAAATGTTCAACTCAATTTTATTTTTATCGAGTTTGCTTAGATGTGTGATCATGTAGGTTCGTATAATATTAGCAATAGATTTTAAATCTATAGATTGTAAGCGGTTTCTAGCAAAACATTACAACCACTTAATATTATACGAATGTCAAATTTCGACAATACAACTTAACCAGAGTAACGTACAAATGATTTTAAAACATTCCCAACAGTATCTCCACATTGCAATATACTAATTATGGCATGGCAAAATATTCATGCAAAAGAAAAAGTATGTGTATCAGTGACAAAAAAGCCTTTGAGCGGCCGCTTCTCTCCCAACAAAGTTCGCCCTAATAGATCTCAAACTTTCTCTTTGCTTCCCTCTCCGGTGGTCGGAGTTCTTCGACATCACCGTGGGAGGGATTTTCTCCTCTTGCTTTCTTTCCTTTGGTTTTCCTCACCATTTGCCTTGTTCTGTTTGGGTTCTCGGCTTGGTCCAGAAGGAGATTGGGGGCTAGATTTGGGTTTCTTGGCATCGTGCTAGGTCACATAGTTGGCTGGTAATTGTTTCTAAGGATCCTCGACAGATTTGTCTTCGTAGGTCTCGATCTATGCGACTAGGTTGCGGTTCTATAGGTAGATCTGTTGGTTTTTGTAGAAACTCATGGAGATTTGATTCAATCTACATGCTTCTCCGATGGGTTTGTGTACTGTCGTGGTTTTGAGTTCTTGAGGGTTTGGAGTTTCGGTGAGGTTGGAGATTGTCTCGTCGCTACAGATTCATTCGGCTTGCTTGTTCGAGCTCCTCTCCTCATGTCTCTTCTCCCGTTAGGTAGAGTGAAGTATCAAACTCTTTTTCCTCTTTGTAAGTTTCTCTCGGGTTGGAGTCTTCGGTGGTTGCTAGGAGTGGGTCCTCTCTGGTTGTGACCTTCGACGGTGGATATTTTGGTCTCCCAGTGCTGGGTTTGTCTCTCGTCTTGGTCGGATTGGAGGTTTGATGGTAGTGTCGTTGTTGCTGGTTGTTCTCTAGCTATTGCATGGTTTCCGTTTCCGATCTTTACTGCTTTTGTAGCTTTTTCCAATGGTTCGTGTTGATTTTCTCTCTTATTATAGGTTTATATGGTGTGGTGAAGTGTAGTGTAGTGTCTTCTATCGGTTGCTGGTGTGATGGTTCGAGACTTGGTTTGGTGCTGGATCTTGGTGGCTTTCTCTTATTTTGTAGGGCTATTTCTTTGCTTTAGGTTTTTAGGGTTCTATCCGGCTCTGATTCGGTTTTCAGCTCGTTCATCGTTCTCGGCTTCAGCTTGGATAGTGTTGGTTCGCTCCTTGTCTCTACCTCACATATCATTTAGGGATATGGTCATTTCGTACGATTTCTATCGAAGTGTTCTTACAATGGATTTTGTCTCCACCGTCTTTGGAAGATTCAGGAGTACTAGGTTGTACTTTCTTCTTGCCAAAGTATGAATCCTTGGTCTTACTCTCTCAAAGGTATACTGATTCGCCATACGTCATGTGGTTCTTTTCCTAATCCTTGTGAAGTTTGCTAAATTTGTTCTCTAGAGTTAGCCTTGTTCCAGTATTTGATCAGTCTTGTATTTCATGGGTCTTGTACTTCGTCGAGTCTTGTAATATGCATGTGGTACCTTTTATGCTAATATATCTTCAGATGACAAAAAAAAAGGCATGGCAAACTACTAATCTCTTTCACATAAATTTTTCTATGACATGTCGTTGTCACCAATAAATCTTTGCAAATATATTTTCACGTAATCTTCACAAGAAAATCTCATCAACTAAACTTAAATCATAATTTATATTTTGAACACTATAAAAACCAAAGCCGTAGCCGATAACATGCCTCCTACTTTTACATTCTTATCAATAAATTTGTTTTTCATCAAATGGTCTTTTTCTGTAATTATGATGATATTATGAATCTAAACAACTGTACATAATATACATGGGGCATTTGAGCCTGCCTAATGAACATGTACTACAAACTTATAAATCAGGACTATTATGACACGTTTTTTTCTTTCTTTCAAATTAGATTCATCTATTGGGAGATCGAGAAGTCGAGTTCTCGATCTCCCAATATCGTCGTCATCAATTTTTAAATATCATAGTATTTAGTTCAGAAAATTATCATATATATTTTAATATGAGTAAGATAATAATGGAATCCGGAATTTGATTAAGATCAATTCCGATCTTTGTGATCAGTTCTCCTATATTTGAACAAAATGGTGATATATTTTAATATGTTTATCACCGAATAATTTTTCAATACATATATGTAAGAATTCA